TCGGGCGAGTTTTCAGTGTTTTTTTCGAATCACACTACGTTAATTACCATATTTCCACAGATATTCAAGCCGCACAAATAACCATTTTTGAACACAGGGCGTGCCTCTGAAGGCGGAGCCCAAGATCAGTTATGACTGTCTAAGACATCGAACGGAGAGGTAGTGTGGACTGGAATAAACAACCCTGTGTGAGTTTCACGTCAGATAGTGGTAAGGTAGCGGCGGAAAAGCACAGGGTTGCTCAGTGATCCCACCCACAGTGACAGATGTCTAATCCATGCTCTCCTTCGTTTGCATGCTCTCTCTCGCTTGTTTTCTCTGACCTCTCTCCCGATATCCACATTGTCCGTCTTTCGCGTGGCACTAGTACGGCCTTGGTTGAAATCCCTTGAACATGGTTTTTTTTCTTCACGAGAGTGTCAGCTAACACATACAATTCTGTTTCTCAACCCCGCTACTTACTTTTCGCTGGCTTATCGCGAAGTCCGCCTTTACATGCAGATGAACGTCCATAGTATCCCGGTCTGATGAAGCCCAAAAATTATAAAGATATTCTGACGAGCTTCATCTGTTGTACCAACTCAAGATCAAATCCTCTTCAGGACTAATATAGCCCGCTAAGCAATTTCATTTCAGGTCAGCTTCAAACATCCGGCACGCTCTATGATGTTTGTCCCATGTTCGAAGATCAGAAAAAGCCCTTTGCTCTTTGATTTTCATGGCGGTCTACGCTGACCAAAACCGAAATCAATCATATAAGCAATGGCGCATACAGGTGAAAATTGCGAAATCTATGAGAAAATCTGCATAAAATCCTAATTATCTTCAGAAAATCGTCTAATGAGCGACCACCATTGACGAAACAAAAACGGAAGTCGAGCGATACGGTGCTCGAACTTGAATCTGACGATTTGTTATGAAATAATATTTGGGTACTGGTTGAATATATGAATATATTTATGAATAACAAGCTATTCTGTACAAACTGTCAAAATCAACAATAAAATTCGATATAGCAGTGTAACACGTATTCCTATTGGCTGAATTACATCTATATAGGTTGTCCGGAAAGTTTTGAGAAAATTTCGTACTCTTAGTTTGAAGAACTGTAGCAAGCGAATGGCCTAACCCAAAGGCGTATATGAAGTGCTATGAGAAAGAGAAATGTTTGTAGATCAATCCAATACTAGTTAGTCTTATTCCCCACGGTTGGTATGACTTACACATTACCTGAAAAATGTACGAACGCACACGACTCCCAACGCCTTCTACTTCATCTTCACCGTTCTGGCTTCTCTGACGGTCAAATCGGGAATGAGGAACCGTCACCGATGCTGGATAAAACGCGCTTCAAAACTATCTGCAGCAGGAGATCAATCGGTCTCTTACGTGGAAGTTAAGCTTGGATATTGCGTACGCCTCCGCATGTTCGGTACTCATTCATTCAACTCCCAGCAGTAATCCCGCCGAAAAGTTAAGGGAACTGGGATGGACAATGTCTATTATAAGTATAAACCCCTATCTCTCATTGTTGTCGATAGGTGTTAAATGAGCTGGTTGAAATTTCTCAAAACTTTCCGGACACCCTAATAATATTTTACGCCTAGCTTCTTAGTTCACGAAGCACATTTAGGAATGCCTCCTTCGGTATTTGTACATTACCTATCATTTTCATACGTTCTTTGCCTTTTCTTCTGATGGCTCAGCTTTTTGTTCAGACGTTCCATACCTGAAACCAGGATAACAGGACGACGCGTACTCAGCAAACTGGCCGTGGCAGCCAATGTTGACCGCCGCAGAGCAGCTATAGCTCACCTCCACCACCGAAGTTCCCCTTGAGTAACTGGGTGAAGTCCCGCTTCATCGGCTGGATAGACACTTGAGAAAGTGCTTTTGAGGAACTCCCAACACACGCTGAAACAAACGAAAATGAGGGCAGCATGTATAGAGATGTACATGTATGTGCAACTTAACTGAACTGTTTTAAAAATGGATGGATGAAAGTATAAAATAAAAAAGTGGACGACCCTGGTCCTCACTGTGAAGCTGCTGGAGCTGGAGGAATAAGTGTGAACTGACTCTTTCTGAAAGCCTGTTCGTCGTTCGTTGGCTCGCGTTAAAAAGGTGAACGTTTAATGGGTCTGTGTACAGGAAACAAAAATAAGGACCTATCATCTGCACCTGCAGTCAGAAATCTGGAAATGAGGCCAAGACCAAAGAGCGTTCTCGATTTCAACAAAAGTAATGGACTGTTACTCTGAACAAAATATGCCTGTATTGACAGAAATTTGGATTCCGTCAACGGTAAAATGGAACACGCGAAGCCAATCCTGAACCCGAGATGACTGCTTCGGTATAATGCCGTAGCATGGGACCATTTCCCATACTAATAGGATTCGAATCGGTCAGGGGCACATTTTGCAATTTTCGCGATTACTTGAGCGAAACAAAAAAAAAAACAAATTCCACGCTGCGAGGTTGCTCACGTGATACGCCATAACTTTAAAACGATGTATGAAGGCGTCTTTCTATTCTTCTACTTTCTCTTCAGGCAAGTCAAATAGCACACATATTTATATTCCCCAACTTCGCTACCTACAATTTTTTTGAGGTCTGACGCGGAACTTTAAGGGCGAAACCATTCCAATTATTTAATAAGGTGAAAACCTCACCTTTAATGGTGACTTCATATTGCTGGCGCGGAATTTCTCTTTTGAGACGGTGCACCAATAACTTTGCACGTTCTCTTGCCATAGCTGCAGGGATGATTTGAGAGAATTCGGGAACCTGAATACAGATGAAGTATATTATGGGTACTCGTATGGGTGTGACAAGAAGAGGATTAGCTGCCGGCTCGACAGAGCGATCCAGTGAGTTCATTTATGAGCTACATCTATGACGATATGAATTTCTATTCGGTTTAGTTTGTCTTAGCTTTGCAGAGCATATTGCAAGCTTCCTATGAGCTAGCTCATGAGCTGACCGCATGAAATTAAATACTTGCCAGCAGGGAGCTTGCCGCGTTGTTTCCTATCAAAAGCTAGTGCGACAATATAGAGTCCTTTATGCGATTAGCAGTTGGGAAAAGGGGAATGCGCGTTGACTTTGTCTATTTATTTCTCTTCTACTATAGGAGATTTTTCAAAACAGTTTTGTCCATTAGAGAGAGGTTTTTATTGCGCATCTTTTGATATATTTTTTCTATGTCTACCTTGTTTTTTTAGAGAAAAAAAAGTTTAGAAAAAAAATTTCGAATGCGAGCTTTGATATGTGGTAAGACTTCAAGCAAATCCGAAACGACGCACTTGGGTGGACCTAATGACCCACTCGGCTCACAGGGGCAGCGGGCGGACCTAGCGACACACTCGGCGAGAAAACTGGCAAAAAGAGGCTCTTTTGACCTACATTTCCTCTCCGGCGGACCTAACGACACACCCGAGGGGAAAAGTAGTGAAAGAGGCTCTTTTGGCGAAGTTTTTGCGTACAGTTGGCAACAAGTCATTGCTAGTAATGGAGATTATCTTTTAGATTGACCTTGTTTAATTTCGTTTTTATAATAAAAATTTTTTACACTTCAAACGCGCATTCCTTTCGAGCAACCTAAGTATTTCTTTGTGCGCGTGTAATCCTACACACGTAGGACACAGAACAAGAAGTGCTGCTGCTAGATTCTCTTGCCAAGCCATCGAAGGAGTAGTAATAAATTCACTCAACGACTCTGAGTGGAATTGAAATGTTAATCGCGAAAAGTTCGGCCCGATATCAAAGTAAATGCGGAGCACACAGACAGTGCTGGAAGCATCCTTCCTGTACTAATTTGTGATCTCAGCTCAGCATAAAACTTCAGAGACGCCCATCACACTTCCTGCGTCGCCAGTTTTGAACGTGCGCGGCAGCTTTTTAACGTTATGCCCACAAAAACGTATGTTGCACGCTCCGAAATTCGACGCAAAGCCACAGGTTGCATTCTAACGACAAGCCACTCTTGCCGCGATCACGCGAAACGGACTCGAATCATAAGGTTGCTTGCCGTACATTACCAAATGAAATGCACTTTATGGAAGTCAAAAAGTTTTATTTAAAAACAAAATTGAATTTTCTGAGGGACTGCTAGTTTTTAGCCTCAGTTCCGCGAGCGGAAAAAAACGTGTATGTTGCGGAGCTGTCAGCAAAAAGGTTAGCATTGGTGGAGACAAAGTCCAGTCCTAGGCTACCTCTACATTGTGTCACCCATTTCATTACAAGAGCCGTCACCAGTGCCTTCATAATCATCACACTTTGTAAGACACCAACACTCGGCCAATGTAAAAACTCATTTCACGCCACCCTAGATGCAGGGTGAGGATCTTGGAAATGAATCCGCCAAGAAGTACCTTTTCATTGAAAGTGTCTCCACACTGCAATGTAGGCAACGGTTATATGTATAGGTTGGAAGGAAAGTCTTGTCACTGTTGTGACTTTTTTCTCTTTTTATTTTCTAACTCAATATACAGTGGGAATTAGTCAACAATATACTCGTCATAGTTAGCCACTACAGTGCTCCACCCAATGGACAGGTAAGCATTCCCCTCCTCCCAGAACTGAGAAGGCTGCGCAGTAGACGTATAGTCAGCGCGCCTCTCGCACGTGATGTCAATCAAACTGCTGAAAGCCTTTCTAAGCTAAGAAAGCCTCAAGGAGGCGGAGCAGGTAGCAGTCGTAGGGGACGGCGTCAGGAGAATGTTATGAGCGGAGGACTGGTCTCCCAGCCTTGCTCCCCAATATTTGGTAGGTCTTCATAGCAGGTATGGGGTCTCGTGCACTACGAACGAGGTGACAGAAGCTAGTCTCGGTCATTTTTCTCTTACAATGTTTTCGGAAGCTGAGCGACACCAATGGTGGCGGTGATCATCTGTTCTTATGGGGCAGCTCGTTTCTGCAGCACCTCCTTGCGGCCCAGGAGCAGCCACCAGGAGGAACGCATTTCGGATTTCATGCCCGGTTTGGACTGCTAGAATGGATCTTCTCTTTGGGAGAGACAAATGGATCTTCTCTTTGGGAGAGACAAACGGCACTGTGCGGCCGTTGAAATCAAAGAGGACCATTTTCATCCCCACTAGCATTCTCTCGCGAAACTTCCTTCGACGAAGGGCAGAGAAGGGGAGACTGGCCAAGGGGACCCAGTTGTGCACAGCTACTATCGCCGTCCAATCGTATGGCAGTTGATCCACCAAGCATTACGCTGGTAGTCAAAGGCTTACAGGCGGTGGACGACTGTCGAGTCTTGCCGCAATACTGCGGGTGTTAGCCTCTGGTTTCCCCTCGTCTGCTTCGAGAATGGTGGAGTCTTACACTTCTTGAAGCCGTCCCAACATAAGTTTGTCTTCAAGTATCGAGTCTCTTTTCGCGAAGCGAGTGAACTAAAAGTGAACGATCCTGACGGTAGTGGTGTCCTCCCTCAATGCACTGTTGATGTTACGGACAGCTGCCGTGGCTCCAGTGCCGCGGGGCCACTGATAGAAGATGATGACCCGAAGATACTCCTGTGAAACTGACATCGTAATTAAAACCCAGGGAAGAGCAGGCGCCCCCTCTCACGCTTCTTGCAGAAAGCCTCCCAGAGTGTCCTACAAGCATAGCATGTTACGTCATGTACGAGCATCGAGAATCAAAAACTGTAAGCTTTTCAAAAAACACTGACAGGACTTTCCTTCCAACCTAATATAAGCCGCCAGTTCTCACCTCCTTCGTTGTCTCCTACCTCTCGGCTTTTCTTTCCGGACCTGTTTTTTGGTGAACTCCTACAACATCCAAGAAGGTTCGGGCAGTTTCCTTCGATTTTTCTTTACTTACAAACTTACTAAATATCAGATCTGACCCGTCATTACTGACAGTAGCTGTATTCCATCACGGTGTCATCTCGAGTTTCTCAATAGAATGCTGAATCGCGGCGACCGTAAATGAGGGTTCTGTTCCGCGTCTAGGGATAAACAGAACGTGCGAACGACTTATCACCACTGCGATTAAGTCGGGTAATTCGTCCTTTTCGAGAGATGAAAGGAGCGAGCTAAGAATAATTCCACTCGCCTCTCGTCCATTAATTGTCAGCGTCAGTTTGATAAGTTTTGTTTCCATGTACCCGTCTTGTTCGTAATCAAAAGAAGCGTATCCAGAAGTGATCCGCTTCAATCGCTCGAAAAAGTCGATCACCACTGAAATCCGAAAAATGTGTTCATCCTCATAACATGAGATCTTGAGAGCAGAAACATTACACATGAGATATAACGAAGTGCAAACCTTCAGCTAGTGGCAGTTTCCAGACGATCAGTAACCTGCTCTCGTCGATGGAGCTCACGTCACCGCGTTCCCCACGACATTCCGAACACAGTCCGTTCACTATGCCCATCATCTCCGCCGGCACTATTATGCGAACCTACTAAGCAATATTTTTTGCACATAACTATTTGGAACTATTCGAAACCCACCAAACCAATATTTTTTCGCATACGAAATACTTCGAGCTCTTCAAACGAATACATAAATTACACCGCGATCCCCTATGAGATTAAAGGCAGCGCCCGCGATCAACCAAAAAGATGAGAAAACTTGTGCACTGAAAAAAACGAACGCGGAGTTCGCAATCACAGCAGAAATCCCACTCTTGCGGCTCGAAATCGATTGGTTGGGCGGAGTCAACAGAGCCGGGCTGACGCCTCCTGTCCTGTTAATCCCGCCCCGACTGGTTGACAGTTATCAATGCTTGCTGGCATTGATATACGCTGAATTTCTAGAGTTCCGAGGCGGCGACGTGTATTGGAGAACTCACCAGAAGTTTGCGAAACTCGTCCACATGCCTTAAATTTCATAGGGTCTTATTTCACGCTCTTCCACACCTTTTTCCTGCTTTTTTTGATTAGTGCTTCATTGGCCATCTGTTCTAGCAAATGTGACCCCTTGAAACCTGCCAAAGTTCATCGCGGGCGCTGTCTTTAATAACTACCTTTAGATCTGATAAACGATTTAGATACCGACGGTGGCACTACTTCTCAGAAAATAATCTTTTCGATTTCCTGTTCTCTTGTTCTTGTTCGAATAACATGGTGAATGTTCAGTGATACTCAGATTTTCACGCAAAACAGCTACGCCATAACAGAGCAAAACATAAGCAGCTGCATCCTTATAAATCGAGACACACACACACTGCACAGTAACTAAGGGGGCGAGGGGGGGGGGGTCCGTACCAACCGCCGATTCTCCTCCCTTTCGAATCGATGCTATACCCTGATTCGGCGTCTGTGTTGGCGTTCTAACGGTCAGTACGTTAATCAGAATGATGAAGAGATCTCGACGAGTAAACTGGCAAAAGATGGGCGGCACAATGTGGTTTGGACAGGGTGGCAATTACGACCAGCAGCGCCCCAATAGCAGTGTGACAGTTGCGCCATTCAAAGACACCCATCCGCAAGCTATCGCTCGATCTAGTAGAGATAAAGACTTTGCGAGGTCTCATTATACCACACTTACGAGCTGCTTGCTCAACGAGCCTTAACTAAGGTTCTCCTGATATGGCACAAGCAAGATCGACCTCCTGGGTGTGAGAGGGTGTTATTTTGATGCGTCTTAAGAGTTTTTCTCTGTCGTTCTCTTCACAGGGATGACAACGAGCACGTGGTTATATAATAAGTGTCATATCCGGGGTCATCTTTACATTGTCCACCAAGACTCCTTAGGCATGACTAAAGCAGAGCGGCTGTTGCACTCGTATCCTTCTATCCTACTAATTACAGGGAAAATCACATAGGAAAAAGAAACACACTCACCGTAACTACAGGTTCCAGGAATTTTTCGATATCGCTCTCTTCGGGAAACTTGCTCGCGTCGATAATACTGACCTCGCCCTTGCCGCCGAAACGCTTCTTTCTAATGGTTTCATTGTCCTGAAATACAGAGGATAAAATTCAAGAAAAATGCGTTCATACACATCATTCCAGTGATGTTGAGCCATTAAAACGTCCTTTGAAGAAGTTCGGAAGTGTATTCATGCTTTCCGAGCCCCATATATAATCTATAACCACACTACTGCAACTGCAAAACGTTATGACCCTGTTGGCCCGAAACTGGCGCTAAACCTTCAAAGACAAACTGTACACTTAGCTCCGGGGAACGGAGCAGGAGGTCAGTGAAACCATTCCTTTCGCAACACTGCCTGCGCTGCCTCACGGTCAACCACACGTCTAACCATGGCCAGGCTACTTGTTTCATTGCTAGTTGTTCTTTACAGTGACTATGTTCTTCGGTATCACGTTGAAAATAGCAGGCGAAGTTGTGGGACGGCACTCAGGTGCTGCTACCCTTCGGCCCTCCGTTTCGCGCACTTCTGAGCGGAGAAGAGGTGGCCACCACTAGCCCGTCACCTCGCCCCATGGCCAGGGACCAGGCTCGAACGACAGTGTACAGTTTGTAGAGCTGCGCAACACAACAAATTTTTACAGGGGGGGGCCAAAAAAAGTCACTTTTCTCCATGGACTTTCGAGGCGCTATAAGTTACACTTTATTAAATTCTGAACATTTTTACCACCATATTAAAGAGCATATTGAATACTATCATGACACTCCGCCACAGCCTTCTTACGAGCGCCACCGAGAGAATCTGCCACGCGACCGATTGGTGCCTGAGATCAGCGAGATAGTCGATTTCTCCGCCACCGTAGACCACCCTATTGAACTCCGCCCGAACTGGGTAATTGAGGGGATTCAGGTCAGGTGACCTACTTGGGATATTCCATCTTCTTTAGGTACTCAGCCCCCTTCCATTCCAAGTAGGCGAGAGTTTCTCCAACGCCCTTCGATTCCATGTGGTGGCACCCAATGCTGTAGCAGTACAAAGTTTCCAAGAAGGTACGGGCGACGACATGTGAGGAGGATATTCTTCACGAGTTGCTCGATGTAACCGCCAGCGCTCACCTTCAGTCCGGGGTCACAAAGAAAATATCGGTCTTCCCTTTCAGCATACGGTCCGTTCCACATCCATCAACTCGCGCCTTGGCGGACTGTGGGGTGAAGATGATGTCCTAGACCGTGGCGACGTTGTCGCTGCTCGATGTTGGAGGTCATCCAGATCGAGAGTACTGGTCTCCAGGTAGCTATCCATGGGTGACTCCATACTAGAAGTTTCGCAGCTGTTTGGAGGTGACATGAATTCTAAAGGTCTTCTCCAGTCAGGCTGCGACTGGAGATGACTTCATATATATTTTGGTGTAAATGAAGGTGATGGGTTGAGAGCCAGCTCCTGCTTATCGAGGAACATCTTGGGTATCTTCCGCCCTGGTACTCGTATCCACGTCCTCTGTCTGGGCAGCGAAAACTTTGCTGATATGTGACTCGGTCGAAATGTCTTTTTTTGGCCCCCCCCTGTATTTTTATATGTTGCCGGCTTTTTGTCATTTAACAGAACAAAAGAAAGTGAACATGAGAGCATTCTTCTCACCTTTACAATGCTCTGTATTCTACGGACGGTTGAGTGAGAATGACACTGGTCCCATACTCCTGATCCAGTCGAGCACCAAAAACCTCCATATGTAACACACCGAGGAATCCCATCTGAAATTGTTACAGAAATGATTTTACATTTCTACCAACAGCAATATCTTACAAACTTTCCATCCCAAGCCTAGTGCTGGACTGGAATCGGGAATGATCACTACTGAAGGATCGTTGAGGCTGAGACGGTCGACGGCCTAAAATGATAAATATACAAAGTTATGTAGTAACATAAGAACAGGATTCACACATGCTTTCACTAACACGTTGGCGACATTGCGTCCAAACGCTGGGACGCACCTTTTTTGCGCGTGGGACATTGGGCTCGTCCAATGCTGGGGATGCGGCAATGCGGTAAAAAAAAACAGTGTTGGAATAGTTTCAATTTATCATACAGCCACATATCTGTCCGAGGATAGCATCGCTAGAAGTATACAGTGCTGTGCAACCATGCAGTTGTGCCATTAGAAGTATTTTACCGAGGAGACTAACGAAAGTGTTTTCTTAGGAAAAAGGTAATTTCTGGATGTATAGAACTGAAGCATGCAGATACTTAATGTGATAGGGTAACTACAACTATGAGCAGGATTGTTGGATCGAATCAATTTATCAACTCTGCTCTCGAAGCGGAAAATGTTCCTCCTTTTGGGCGAACCTTCTACCTAGCTTCCCACGTTCCACGTAAATGGGGCGGGAGTATTCCATGAAAATTTAGGGTTTATCTTGACAGTAAACAGAAACTGCGACGCCTTACCAACTTCTGCATTGAATTCTAGTTCTTCTTCAATTTGTTTTGGTGTATATAAACGCCCTAGCATTTATGCGCATTCTTCGAAAATAGGGAAAAACTGCTTGGTCCCACGCGGCAGACACGCGAAAAGGCGCCTTGTCGCCAATGTGTTAATATTTGGTTGCTTTAATGGATGTTCGAACGAGCACATGGAACAGTAGTAGGTAACTCCGCTTACCACACCTAGTCTTCTCCGTTAATCAATCCTTTTGAGGGATGCGGCACGCACTCTACTTCACTTCAGAATCGTAGCGGTTTATGGAATGCGAAATGCGGTGGGCCACCCAATCTACAGGTTATTTTCCTTATCCTGAGCGAGAGTCGATCTGGGAATTGACCCCAGACCGCGCCTGTGGTATGCGTGCCACTAGCAATATCCCCTCCGCCAAACACAGGGAGGATACCAAAGTACCGCTCAGGACACCAAGGCTGACCTTTTCTACGGAGTCGGTGACGTAGCACTAGAAGGGGATAAAACGAGTCTGTCGCTAGTTTCGAGTCGCGCCACTGCAGGCGACTTCCTTATCTTTTCTCAAGTTTCCATTTTTTCCATTTCCTCCTAGCTAGTTGACTTGATATATCCCAGTAGTGACTGAGCTGCACTAGTGCAAATACTGAGCCGTTTCCCATATCTCTTCACCGCCTCAACTCGAGGCCGGCAAACTCACATAATGAAAGCGCTAACTCGAACATCGGTGAGTCCAGAGAAGCTATTATATAGGTCAAACGTCATTCGGAAAAATCACCACGATTCCTAACAGAAGTAATATCAGCCAATACCAGAGAGAAGGAATCAATGGCGAACCACATCGTCTGTTAGAGTACGGAAATGAAGAGAAAGAGGGGAACAACTCACCTGCTTGAGATCCTCATATTCAGATGTTTCCACCGGAAATAGTCCGGCATAAACGGTTGGTTTGATGGCTTTGAACCCTGGAAAAGCCACTATAGGCTGTCCTTCATGAGGAGTGAAGAGTGTCTCTCCGACTGCGGCCTCCTGCAAACAGAGAAATGAAGGGCTTCCCAGAAAAAACGCAAATATAACAGTCAAGAGCAGGTCGAAGTGCACACCGTAACGTCACGAAGTTCAACACCAAACCAAAAAGGAAAGCTTCAATAAATCTTAATAAGACAGCGCCCGGATGGACTTTGGCCAGGCGTTTCAGGATCACATTGCTAGAACAGGTGGCCAATGAAGCACTAATCAAAAAAAGCAGGAAAAAGGTGTGGAAGAGCGTGAAATAAGACCCTATGAAATTTAAGGCATGTGGACGAGTTTCGCAAACTTCTGGTGAGTTCTCCAATACACGTCGCCGCCTCGGAACTCTAGAAATTCAGCGTATATCAATGCCAGCAAGCATTGATAACTGTCAACCAATCGGGGCGGGATTAACAGGAAAGGAGGCGTCAGCTCAGCGTTGTTGACTCCGCCCTCGTCAACCAATCGATTTCGAGCCGTGAGAGTCCGGCATCTTGTTCGCTACTTGTGCGAACTCCGTGTTCGTTTTCAATGCAGAGTTTTCTCACGATGGTTGATCGCGAACGCTGCCTTTAAGTCAGTCTACGTAATCTATTTGGCGAATGGTTCTAAGTATAGGCCGTCAACTAAACTATTAGGTTGTCCGGAAAGTTCTCAGCGTTTTGTGCACCTATTTTTTGTACATTCACTGTTAAAAACTCATTCTGCCTTGCTTCTCAGTAGCACATCCTGTAGAGAATTTCTTGCGCTATCTGATGGTATAATTGCCGTTTCACCATTGCTTGATAAACCCCCTTTTTTCAAGATTTTTTCAAGCATGTGAAAAGAGCACTTCGGACGATTTTTTTCTTCGACTATAAATTGGGGCAATCCCGCAAATCGAAACAGCTCAACAAATTAACCAGGTGTGGGGGGCCCAATAGTGCTAGAGAAAGCACTGTGCGGCAATGGCTCAACAAATTTCGTTCTGGAGATTTCAGCCTTGAAGATGAACCTCATAGCGGTCGACCTAAAGCAATATCTGACGAGGATTTTAAGGGGATTTTGAAGGCTGACCCATCCCAAACAGTTCGAGAGATTGCAGAAAGCTAGGCGTTGGCAAATCCACTGTTGCAGATGGTCTGGAAACGCATTGCCAAGTGAAAAAACTCGAACAACTGGTGCCCCACAATCGGAGTGACCGGCAGGAATCGGCACGTCTCGAGGTTCCTTCTGCATTGCAGAAACGACCTGTTTTTGGACCGAATTGTCACCTGTGATGAAAAATGGGTCATGTATGATAACAGGAGACGTTCCGGACAGTGGTTGGATTTCGACGAACCACCGAGGTAATTTTCAAAGCCGAACCCTCACGAAAAAAAGATTCTGGTCACGGCTTGGTGGTCATCGGCTGGTGTGATCCACTATAACTTTTTATCACCAGGCCAAACCATCACAGCAGAACCCTACTGTGAAGAAATCGACGAATTGTACCGAAAATTTGTCAGATGCAGACAACAATATCAAAAGAAAGGGTCCGATTCCTTTGCATGACAACGCCCGCCCACACGTTTCACAAATCACTATCCATAAATTGAACGAATTGGGGTTGAAGTTCTACCTCAACCGCCATATTCTTCAGACCTTTCGCCAACCGACTATCACCTTTTCTAACATTTTCAGAACTCCCTTGCTGGAAAATACTTCATCAATCAGGACCAGGCAAAAAAGCCTTAGTGGATTTCGTGAATTTTCGACCACCCAGTTTTTTATTTTGATGGGATTTCTCGACTGCTGTCACATTGGCAAAAGTGTGCTGATTCGAATGGTGCCTATTTCGATTGAATCCGATGAGTATTAAAAAAGTTACGATCGTTTAAAGTGAAACACCCAAAACGCTGAGAACTCATTCTGAAAAACTATGACTTGACATTTGTGAAGAGTGTCTTTACGTCACAGAGCCCTCTTTCGAAAAAGTTCATGCCTCCTTATAGGCACATATGCATGGACAAAGCCGTTTGCAGCTGAATCTGAAGCAGGCTATGTTCATTAAAAAGGAACTGGTATGAAACCCCACACTCGCTCAACGGGACGAACATCTCCGGAATGCTCCGTTATGCACGCTGCCGGTCGGGAAGAAAACAGTATGATGAGCGACAGGCTGAGCCAGTAGGAAGCCGCATGCCCGTTAATGGGGCCAGCGATATCACTTTTTCGCTTCTTGATGGATCCAGGAGCGCCGCAAAGAAAAACCACAAACTCTTGCAAGTGCATGCATGGAGAACAAGCGATCGAGGACCTGAAAGCCCTTGTTTGGATGTCTACAGGGGGGGGGGTCAATGAAAAAAGTCACTTTTCTTCCTTGACTTTCGAGGCACTATACATTCTACTAAATTCTGATCGGACATTTCCACCACCACCCTAAAGAGCATATTAAATACTATATTATGACACTCCGCCACAGTCTTCTCGACGAGCGGGCCCATCGAAAAATTGGACGATTTTGCAACGCGACCGCGAAATGGTGCCTGAGATCAGCGAGATAGTCGATTTCTCCGCCACCGTAGATAACCCTATTGAACTCCTGCCCGAACCGGGTAATTGAGGGAGTTTAGGTCAGGTGACCTACTTGGATATTCCACCTCCTTTAGGTACTCAACGCCCTTCCATTTCCAAGTAGGCGAGAGTTTTTCCAACGCCCTCCGATTCCATGGTGGCACCCAATGCTGTAGCAGTACAAAGTTTCCAAGAAGGTACGGGCGACGACATGTGGGAGGATATTCTTCTCGAGTTGCTCGATGTAACCGCCAGCGCTCACCTTCAGTCCGGTCCACGAAGAAAATATAGGTTCTTTCCCTACCAGATACAGTCCCTGAGCCAGAGTAGGCATGGCATTCGAACATGGCACAGAACTGGTTACTCGTGGAATATTCCGGTACGGAACAACTGTTACTTGTTCTGTGTTGGAGAGAGAAACGACAACAATTGGAACATGAAACACGTGAAAGAGGCGCCAAAAAATTTATAAACAACTCGAAATGACCATCAAAACGGTGTTGGGTAAAAGGTTGGATAAAGAAACAGTCAAACGATTCATCCTGTCTTCCCCAAGTGTTCCTACTTATTATTCTTTAGTCAAAACGCATAAATTTACGACAGCTACTTTGGATCATCTCACCGTGCAAGACGTAAAGACCCGACCCATAATTTCCTCTTGTGGTGGACCATCGGACAGAATCAGCTGGCTCCTTGTCAAATTATTCTTCCCCTCTTCTAAGGGCGACGTATCATCGCATATTTGTCATACAGGGGACTTTCATGCTCTCGTTGAAAGATGCCAATATCGCCAGACAAACCGCTAGCTATGCTAGTTTTGATGCAGTATCCTTGTATACGAACGTCAACACCTGGGACGCAATTGATGCTCTTAATAGACTTATGGAGCCAGCATAGAAGGGAAATCTTCGTTTTTTGCCTGGAAGAAGAAGACCTGCGGAAATTGTTCAAGGCAACTTTGGATTGTAATATATTTCAGTTGCGTACGAAAGTTCTCACAACATCAGACACATCACGACAAACGCGGAAACAGATCAGGCTAGCCATGGGGTTACGAATCGCGCCCTTACTAGCCATCCTTTTTCTGGACCGCATAGAACGCCGGTCGCTAACATCAGGGATATTATTTTACAAAAGGTACATCGATGACGTTTTCGTTATTGGTTCCTCATCGGGGGAGTTGGAAGATACGCTTCTAAACCTCAACTCACAGGATCCAGACATCAAGTTTACTGTGGAGAACCCAGATGAGGACGGATTTGTCCCATTTCTAAACACCAGGGTCAAGATTGAAAACGGTGTCAAACAGCTGTACTGGTATAAGAAACCGGCGTCGAAGAATATATTACTGCACGCCAGAAGTTGCCACCCCTCATATATGAAAGCGAACGTAGTTCGCAATTTAATCAAGACAAAAGAAAGAACATGTACGCAGCGGTCGCAACGAATAGATACGACGGTGGACCGAATTCTTGGGGAGAATGGATACGTCAATACACGTATTCATACATGGAGACCGTACTCGACACCAGATGGCATTCCTTTGGTAATGCCATATCTAAATGAGAGTACGGCACTGAAAGTTAACAGTATAGTCAAAAGCTCACCACTCCCCATACAGCTCATATTTCGTCCACCGCCAAATCTAAAAAGACTACTAACGTACTCCAGGCCTTATGAAGAAAAATGCGGACGAGGGAACTGCACTTACTGTAATGATAGAAAAATATGCCAACTCCGAGGAACGGTGTGCACTTTGATAGAATGGCCGAGGGGATCGCGGAGCAAAAAATAAATGATCGGAGAGACAAAACGAGGCCCTTTCTTCAAACGATTAAGGAGACTGAACCAATCCGCAGGGCCCTAAACAATCCAGCTTCATACCCGGATAACAGTCTCTCGAAGCACCGCACCACCATGCATATACACGAAGGTCCTCCGGCAATCACCATTACAGTATTACACCGTTCCATAGAAAATACAGTGGAAAGAAAACTATTAGAAGCACTGGAAATAAAAAGGCTCTCTCCGGAAATGAATAGTAGGGATGAGCTACGTGATGCGCTGCAGTTGATTCACTGACTACGGTAATGATAATGGTTGAGCGGTCAGTGATATCATATGCAGAGACGCTCACCAGTCATCCTCACTATTTAAGGGAGGATGACGGGTAGGGTCGCAGTCAACACTAGGAAGTCGCTTGCATGTTGCTGGGGGGAGGCTGATATGGGCGAAGAGGCAGACCGAGTTGGCCACAGAAGATCGGAAGGGTGCACGGTAACTATAGTATTTCAGATCGCTGAGGAAGGTGCTAGGCACCGAAATATTCGAAGGAAGTATTAGAAACAAAAAATTTTTGCAAGAACTTTTGGATTCTTTTGAGTCTTTTGAGTTTTTTGCAATAAATTTTTTGGCGCCTCTTTCACGTGTTTCATGTTCAGATTACAATGAGGCTCCGGGACAGCACCATATTACGACAACAATTGGGTTAAGGTGAAAATATCTCAACAGAAGCATAGACACCTTCAGGATAAGTGTACTTGAAACATTGCGGCACGGCTACCCGATCTCAAGGGCATTTCGAAGTATACCTCCGGCCCATACCATCAACCCGTGCCTTGGCGACTGTGGTGAAGATGATTTCCTAGACCGCAGAGACGTTGTCGGAGCTGTTCGATGTTGGAGGTTTTCAGATCGAGAGTACTGGTCTCCAGGTAGCTATCCATGGGTGACTCCATACTAGAAGTTTCGCAGCTGTTTGGAGGTGACATGAATTCCAAAGGTCTTCTCCAGTCAGGCTGCGACTGGAGATGACTTCATATTTTGGTGTACATGAAGGTGATGGGCGAGAGCCAGCTCCTGCTTATCGAGGAACATCTTGTATCTTCCGCCCTGGTACTCGTATCCACGTCCTCTGTCTGGGCTGCGAAAACTTTGCTGATATGTGACTCGGTCGAAGTGTCTTTTTTTGCCCCCCCCTGTATATGGGATTTCACGCACCCTCTAGATACCAAATGGGTTTCTCTCATCTCTCACTTCCCTGGCTTTCTTTGGTGTCTTCGTTGACATTTTTTTTTTGCTTTCCTTCTTTTGGCCTTCGGAAATCACTCTCCCATCGCCTGCATTTTCAACATGCAGTACCAATGGGTTCCCACAAAACACTGACCACCTATCAGCGACGACCACTCAGAATTTCTACACAAACTGGGTTTCCATGTTAAACATTGTGACTTCATATGCATGAAGTCAAAAGTCACCACGCAGGCTAAATTTATACCTTGACAGTCTTCATACCGCAGATAATGTAGCCGACTTGTCCCGCGCTTAGCGCTGCACATGGTGTCATATCCGGACGCATTATGCCGACCTGAATTCCGTGCTTGATGTCAAAAGTCAAACACATCTAAGTAAAGAGCTCATTTTGATACACACCTCCACAACTTCATATTCCTTAGCATTATGGTAAGATTGCATTTTTTGTCCCTTCTTGATACAGCCGTCCGCTACGCGAATAAACGCAATGGCACCGCGGAAATGATCAAACATAGAATCAAAAATTTGGGCACTGAAATCAAGAGTGTAATGTATAGAAGCCACACGCAGACATGTGACCTATAAGGTTGACCAAAAAATTATCATAGTCAGTGAGGCTGCGCTCATACATCGCGACTCACAAGGAGAATCCAATCTCGGAACCTGCGCGAATGCCTTATTTGCTAAAAAACACCCCATATGCTAACTCAACTCCGAACCTCCCCTTTGTGCACATTCAGCTATTCTTATAATCGTCTATTCCCCGAGTTGCAAAGTGTAAATGTGGCCAAGTTGATCGTCAACCATGGGTAACACCAGCCGCACGGTTATCCTTGAAAGGTTGCGTTCGTACTTTGGGACTCGGCGTTTCGGCAGAATCAGCGTTTTTGGCAAACCATAAGTATCGATCGGCCTCCAAATCCTTTTCGCTCGAAGCGCAGCTTATCCCGAAACGCTCTATACGTCTATTCTCCCAAAACAATAGCGAGCGGCACCGACTGATACCTATGCTATCACCTTCACTTAAAACGCTGACTCTCCTGAAACGCCAGGTCGATACGTGAACTTTTCTTTCGCTCAGAAGTCAAATCTCCCAAAACGCCAAGTCTAAAAACATGAACACAGCCTGACCTGAAGAATGTCCGCACCACCAGCAGAAAACAACTCACCGGAATGGAGCATCGCTATGTGACTT